GACTAATCAGGAATGATGCACATAGCATTTTAGCCTTCCCTTCCTGTCAATCCATTTTAATAATTGGTGACATTTTCCATTAGCAAGATGGGAACTTTTTTTTGTCTCTTTAGGAGACACCTTTAGTTACATTTATAGATAGCAGCAAAGAAAATCCTTCATTGTTTATAATACTAAATTGTGAATTAGAATAGATACATTTACCACTGATTAGGGGAAATGAACAAATCCTTATTAACCAGGTGCAAATAAACAGAGTTGTAAAGCTTGAGTCAACCACTAGGTGGCCTCCTCATCTCCCACACTATATGTCTGTGTATATATATATATATATATATTTGTATTGATCCAGAAATGTACAATAAAAATTTAGAAATATGGAAACTCATGTATTTCATAAGTTTATTCCATAAACTGTGCAAAGCTGACATTCTTGGTAGCCTAGTTAGCAGGGCTAGCACTATCCCTTTACAAATTTTCACTATTAAAACAAGTCTCACTTTTTAGTGAATACACTTATCAGCAACAACATTAAAACCACCTGCTTAATATTGTGTAGGTCTCCCTCATGCTGCCAAAACAGCTGTGATTCAAAGAGGCATGGACTCTACAAGACCTCTAAATGTGTCTTGTAGTATCTGTTACCAAGACATTAGCAGCAGATACTGTAAGCCCTGCATGTTGCGAGGTGCACAATGCACACAGCCATCTGCCTGATCTAAAATAAAACATGATTCACCAGACCAGGCAACCTTCTTGCATTGTTCAATGGTCAATGTCAGATGCTCTTATCTCCATTATAGAACAGGGCACCATGGGCACTCTGACCTATGCAGCCCCATACACATCAAACTGAAATACACTGTGTGTTCTGACACCTTTCTATCTTAGCCCACATTAAGTTTATCAGCAATTTGAGCTACAGCAGTTGTTCTGTGTGATCAGACCAAACAGACATGCCGTTGCTCCCTACGCGTACCAATGGGCCTTAGGTGCCCATATTAACCGGTCGTCCTTTTTTGCACCACCTTTGGTAGGTACTAAGCACTGAATATTGGGAACACCCCACAAGACTTGCTGTTTTGGAGATGCTCTGACCCAGTTGTCTAGCCATCACTATTTGGCCTTTGTAAAAGTCATTCAGATCATTTTGCTTGTCCATTTTTCCTGCCTCAAATAACACATAAAATTGAAGAACTGATTGCTTTATATATCCCACCACTTGATGGGTGCAATTAAAATGATATAATCAATGCTACAATCACTTTTCCTCTCAGTCATTTTATTGTTGTATATGATCAGTATATGTGCATCTTTAGTTCCATTGAAATCCTCTGGAATGTTAACACCCAAATTTGAGCCTTCATGGCTCTACCTCATTTATTATTTATGATTAATGATGTCGCGAACATAAAATTTTCGGTTCGCGAACGGCGAACGCAAACTTCCACAAATGTTTGCGAACTGGGCGAACCGCCATAGACTTCAATAGGCAGTCGAATTTTAAAACCCACAGGGACTCTTTCTGGCCACAATAGTGATGGAAAAGTTGTTTCAAGGGAACTAACACCTGGACTGTGGCATGCCGGAGGGGGATCCATGGCAAAACTCCCATGGAAAATTACATAGTTGATGCAGAGTCTGGTTTTAATCCATAAAGGGCATAAATCACCTAACATTCCTAAATTGTTTGGAATAACGTGCTTTAAAACATCAGGTATGATGTTGTATCGATCAGGTAGTGTAAGGGTTACGCCCGCTTCACTGTGACAGACCAAACTCCCCGTTTAACGCACCGCAAACAACCGCAAAAACAGAGATGGTGATGATGAGGGTGGTGGAGGATGAGGCTGAGGGTGGTGGGGGATGAGGCTGAGGGTGGTGGGGGGGTAGTGAGGTTGAGGGTGTGGGGGGCAGTGAGGCTGATGGTGTGTGGGGGTGGTGGGATGCTGAGGGTGTGGGGGCAGTGAGGCTGAGGGTGTGGGGGTAGTGAGGCTGAGGGTGGTGGGGGTGATGATGCTGAGGGTGGTGTGGGGTAGTGAGGATGGGGCAGTGAGGCTGGGAGTGGTGTGGGGGGTAGTGAGGCTGGGGTGGGTGAGGCTGGAGGTGGTGTGGGGGTAGCAGGCTGAGGCTGGTGGTGGGATAGCTGAGGGTGGGGGTAGTGAGGCTGAGGGTGTGGGGGTAGTGAGGCTGATGGTGGTGTGGGGGGTGGTGATGCTGAGGGTGTGGGGGGCAGTGAGTCTGAGGGTGTGGGGTGGTGATGCTGAGGGTGGTATGGGGGTAGTGAGGCTGAGGGTGGTGTGGGGGTAGTGAGGCTGGGGTTGGTGAGGCTGGAGGTGGTGTGGGGGTAGTGAGGCTGAGGTGGTGGGGGGTAGTGAGGCTGAGGGTGTGGGGGGTAGTGAGGCTGAGAATGGTGTGGGGGTGGTGATGCTGAGGGTTTGGGGGTAGTGAGACTGAGGCTGTGGGGGTAGTGAGGCTGAGGGTGGTGTGGGGTGGTGATGTTGAGGGTGGTGGGGGGTAGTGAGGCTGAGGGTGTGGGGGCTAGTGCGGCTGAGGGTGTGGGGGTTAGTGAGGCTGAGGGTGGTGTGGGGGTAGTGAGGCTGGGGGTGGTGAGGCTGAGGGTGGTGTGGGGGGTAGTGAGGCTGGGGTGATGTGGGGGGTAGTGATGCTGAGGGTGTGGGGGGTAGTGAGGTCAGAGAGATCAGATGAGTCCTTCAGGACTGTAGTGGACACTGAATACACTAGCCTTGCTATCAATTTCCCTATCAAATCAGCAGCAGCTACACTGTCCCTCCTCTCACTAAGAATGCAGCCTCACAATGAATGTAAAATGGATGCTGTCCAGGAGGTGGAAGCGTCTGGGAGGGAGGGTCTGCTGCTGATTGGCTGGAATGTGTCTGCTGACTGTGAGGTACAGGGTCAAAGTTTACTCAATGATGACGAATAGGGGGCGGACTGAACAGCGCATATGTTCGCCGTCCGTGGTGAACGCGAACAAGCGATGTTCGCCAGGAACTATTCGCCAGCGAACCGTTCAGGACATCACTATTTATGATATCTCTGAATTTATTTACCTCCACTGCCAACTCTGAAATGTTATTATTATATATATTCAGATCAGAATATTGTGAAAGCAAAAATCCTTGTAACACAATTAAAAAAAATACAACACAAATAAACATAATACAGCAAATACCAAAAACAACATATAACATATTTACTAAATTATGTATTAATCAAAAAAATATGTACTCATTACAGAGTCAAGTAGTAAAGTCAAGCATCTCCCCTTCCCTCTCACATTTTAAGTATTTGCTATTTTAATTCCTCTTCATACCCAAAGACAAAATGTATAAAATATGAATTTAAAAGGAGGTTCTAGAACTTCACAACAAGGACAAACTGCACTTGGTGATCACAAAAAATGCCCCCTGGACTGAAGGTCAAATCTACTGTGAAGGGTCACAGACACGCTAATGCATTAACACGTAGAATGTAATGCCTCAAGGAATCAGATCTCTTAAGCTAAAGAGAGCTACAGATTTTATCCCAGCTGACTTGAGATTTTTGTCCCCAACTCTGCCATTTTAAGTTGCTGACTAACTTACCACAACTTGCTGCTTATTTTATAGACCCCTTAGACAATTAGTGTAATATTACATTATATCACTGCCACTGGCTAATATAAATGCAAGAGGTCACATCAACTGTGCCAGTACATTTATAAAAACACCTATAAAGGTGTCAACCAGTATAATGATAGAAATTCATATTAAAGAAATAAACAACTATCCCAGGCATTTCTCAAATTCTATTATTTTTCACCAACTCTCCTCCAAGTCAATTTAATACATTTAGAAGCAATTAACAACGACTGGCTGGTCAGCTCATTTCAGTAAATTTGCTTAAGCTACTCTGCTCTCTTAAAGTGAACTTGACATGACAGATTCATGTTATCTTGCACCCCAAACTGTGATTGTATAATTTATCACAGATATAAATGATAATTAGGGGTCACTGATAAATTTGATATAGAACAGGCACTTCCCTTTTATTCATGTAACCAACATGCTACACCCATGGATGTTACACTAATGTAACACAGAACCCCAGGTACTGTACTCAGGGGCATCTTAACAACATTATGGGCCCCCGGGCAAAGCAGTGCACTAGGACCCTGCCTACACACAAATCACAGGAATAAAATGTTTAATTTATACATAAAATTCAGCTTATATTTATTGGTACCTCCAACACATTCACACACTGAGTGCAGAATACACGCACACACAAGCTGCTGAATACACGCACACACACTGACAGACTGCTGAGTGCACACAGAAAGACTGCTGAGTACACACAGACAGACTGCTGAATACATACACATACTGCATTGAGGTGTCCAGGGTATGTGTGTGTGTGTGTGTGTGTGTACGGGTGCTGATTGTGTGTATTTTTGATGGGTGCTGTGTGTGTGAGGGCTGCTGTGTGGTGTGTGTGAGGTGTGCTCTGTGTGTGTCTGAGAGGTGGTGTGTGTGTGTCTGAGAGGTGCTCTGTGTGTGAGGAGTGCCGTGTGTGGGGGGGTGCTGTGTGTGTCTGGAAGGTGCTGTGGGGGGTGCTGTGTGTGAGTGTGTGTGTGTGGGGGGGTTCTGTGTGTGTGTGTGGAGTTCTGTATGTGGAGGGGTGCTTTGTGTTTGTGAGGTGCTGTGTGTTTGTGAGGGGTTTTGTGTGTTTGTCTGTGTGTGTGGAGTGCTGTGTGTGGGGGATGCGGTGTGTTTGAGAGGTGCTGTGTGCGTGGGGGTTCTGTGTTTGTGTGTGGATTGCTGTGTGTGGGGGGTGCTGTGTGTTAAAGAGGTGCTGTGGGGGGTTATGTGTGTGTGCTGTGTGTGGAGGGGTTCTGTGTGTGTGTGTATGTGCTCCTCTACCCATTCAAAGAGCCCTTGGCCTGGTGAGGGCGATCTCCTCACCGGCCCAAGAGGGCCCATGGCCATAAAACAGTGCCGGCTCTGCATGGGCTGGCAGGGGACATCAAAGGATCTCCCCTGCTGGCCTGGACGCATCCCAGTGGGGCCCTCTGGGAAACTGCCCAGTGTGCCCATGAGGAAAGATGGCCCTGACTGTACTCCTGTGTTACAGGATTGGCTACTTGGGAATACAGATACAATTGCTTCATTACACACACATCAGCATCAGAAGAGAGTGACATCTATCTCTCTGTTCCTGTATTCTATTGAGCACAATAAATAAAATAGGAGAACTTTTTCAGGAGGGTCCTTCTGCTCTCTACCTGTTATTCAGTTCTTCGCCATACACGCCCGTGACCTATATGCCTATAATTAATCGACAGAAGGGGAGTGTTATTATATTTACATTGGATTTTCTTAAAATATATACGTTAGCTATTGCTTCTACTCGCCCGTTGTGTAGACGTTTTCTTTCCCTTCCTTTTCAATAGCGCCCAAGTGAGTGTATCTATGATAATTACACTTTAAAATCCTATATAAAGCCTAATTATACAGACCATATGCAATTGATTTGTTTCAGGCTTTACATGTGACTATCAATATACTGTGATGTAGTGGTCTGCATGGGTAGCGGCACAAGTTCTTTGCACCCGTTAATAAATTCCAAGGGTGAGCCCCTTCTTTTACAGGAAAGATAAAGACATTGATTTATTTATTTTTTTAAGAAGGGAAAATGCTGGTAGAGACATGAAGGGATAGTTAAAAAGGGGTTAAAATGTTCTGAAATAGAATTAGACTATTTACAATTCAGTTTAGTATATGTAGTATTCATCTGTATTTTAGATCTTATACTTTATTTCTATATCTGTAACCGCAATAAAAATTAAGAAATAATTATTTCTGTTAATATTACTATTATTGCATGATTGTTTGGTTCTGAATTTAGTTTATTTTAGCCGGATTCCATCAGTATTGTATTGAAGAAAGACACTAATGACATTACAATGACCCTGCTGGAGCAGTACTACATGACTGACCAAGCACATAATAATCCTGCTGTCCAGGGTCCTGAATTGCTCTTTACTGTTACACCTTTACTACTAGAGAAAAAGCTTTGGAACGATACGCTGAAAGCCCCTCTGACATTGATGAGCAGTAACAGAAGGGACACGATAAAACCCAATGAGACTGAAATGATAGGAATGAGAGCGCACAATATACTCTTTCACAACATTCCCCTTTGCAGTTTTAACTATTTATACTGCATGGACACATTCAGCTAATTTTGGACTTCTGCTTACCTAACCTTTTGTCATAAATGGGTTAAATAGGTACCAGTGTGTAAAATATATCTTTAACTCAATTAATTTCACTTAATGAAGGCATAAGCATTTAGACTTTCCAAATGTCATTTGGGAAGTCATTGGCAACAAAGATTTAGATGGGTGAATGCTTTGTTAAACTTATGCAGTTTGTGTAGGTTTGTTTTGTCTTCTGTTATACTAATCCAAGCAGTACATGATAATCTATATTCTTCCAGGTGTTTGTGGATTACACCTAACACAGTTAACATAAAGAAGAGGTTTTGTTCAGTCGATAAAATTTAGAAGCTGTTAGTATATCACAAAAATATATAACAAAAAGCTGTGGAGACACGATGACCTATCCCCACCTCTTTATATTATCTCCTCTCCTCTTTACTCATTAATAGCGTGCTGCTTATGCTTTCCATGAACTCACTGAAAGCATAGCCAGAAACAAGAACATACTGCAAATCCAGTTATTCAATGTAACCCAACCACACTACCTATCTAACAGAGAGGTGTACAGCAAAGATGTCATCTCCAGCACCCGCGACCATCAGTCACCATGAGGGCACCACCTCTTCCTCCTTAGTAACCTTGCCAAGCACTATAATAGTGATCTTTCTTTTTACATCAGGTGGCTGCTTTGAGTTCAATTATAAATAATATAATAATAAAAAAACACTAGTACCATCCAGCCCCGTCCACTACCTGTAGAGATCCATTGCTAAAGAGCACCACATCTGGGGCTACAGCCCCCAATGTCTCTCCGCCAGCAACATCTATGCTGTAGCTCATAAACTGTTGCTTTAATCTTATCTTTGTTATCAGTAAGCTGCTTTTGATCACCTAATATATGGCAGACTTACTCAAAATGAAGGAAGTTGGTGTCTAGTAATACATTTTGGCCACAGGCTGTCAAATTAGCTCAAGAGAGCCAGAAATTGTATCAAGCTCCAAATTAACATATTTTTCCACTTTCAAGGCAGTAAAAAAGTATCTTTATTTTTCCCAATTCCAGTGTTTCATGTACTTATTTGTGGGCACTTTGTAGCTGTAATCATTTTTTTAATGTATTGCCAGCAATGTCATGCAATGCTTAGCTTTCTTTCCCCGTTCCCAAACTCTATCTCATATTCTTTGAAATTGTAATACGGTTACACTATGAACTAATTGCAAAACTCTTTTGATTCAGCTCTAATTATTTTAGCTAATTTGTTCGGTTTGGTGTTTAACTACCGAATCACATTCTCCAAACACTGAATTCTTCCTCCAATTATCTTCCACCGGCTGTAAATCTTCTAAATAAAATTCACCCTGACCTAAAGCATATCTGTTTTTCTAGTAAAATTGCTATAAATGGCAGAGATTTGCAATAAAGTTTAATTTCATGCATTTTATTGCAAAATGTTTGGAACACTGAATGGTAATTACATATTTTGCACTCAATTCACTACAAACAGACCAATTGTTTTTCAGAAGTCATGGCACGAAAAATGCTTGCCGTCAGCTACATTTATCTAATAGACATGAACTTTCCAATTCCTTGGTGAGCTAATTCTCATAGTGGAGGATAGTGTACTAACTGAAGGTCATCAATGCTGCGTCAAATTATTTAAAATATTCAAGCACCTTACTTTATTATGTCTGTATGTATTGGCTTATCTTTTTTATTTATACATTTTACTTTAATAGAGCGTTAGATATTCAGTAGCTTGGGTGATGGCATTTGTTCCATATAGCCAGCAGTTATTTTCCCAGACATTGTGGCACCACATTAGTGTGAGGGTTAGACAGCAGTTGGTGAGCTGCATTTTGGCGCATGCTCTGAAGACTTTTTGTAACTGGTTTATGGCACCAGGAAGTAACTTTACTAAAGTAAAATGTCCTGAAGTCTTTATTGGACCAAACAATACTAGGATGGCTATTGTAATTGATTGTTTTCTTATCTGTTTCAGTGTTACCAATTACAGTTTTTCTAGATTAGTAAGAAATCAAATTACCTAGATTTTAGAGAATGCTATATTTATGAAGGTAAACTTACCTCCATGAATAAGTACTTGTATTTAATATTTGATGAGCGATATACTTTCAATCCAATATATCACTCCATGTTTACCAATATACCACTCTCATCACTTGAAGCCAGTAAGCAACATTATGCATTTATGTAGATGCTAACCATTCTAATCTTGAATCAATTAATTAAGAATTATAAATACAAAAGATAAGTCCTGCGCTCACTCCCATCACTACTGGGCCGGCAGCAATGACTACAGTACACATCAGCCCCAATATATAGTAAAAACCAAAGAAAATAAAAGTTACCTGCGCGCTCTCCTTAATCCCTATGTATATTTAGACAAATGGAGATCATTTAGTTGCTCCAATAGCCATTGGAGGGAATGCCCGCATGCCAACGTCAAGGCAGACCCCCCTAAAGCGGGTCCTACACTGACCCTTCAGCCTGCTTCCTTGAACTTCTGGCAAAGATATCTCTAATGAGACAGAGAGGGGTGTTTTTTATATACATCCCTATATACTTATTAACCCTTAATAGGGAACACATGGGATGGGCGGCAGCATTGTAACAAGGCTGTGTGATACAAAGTAAATACAAATACAAAAGATAAGTCCTGCGCTCACTCCCATCACTACTGGGCCGGCAGCAATGACTACAGTACACATCATCCCCAATATATAGTAAAAACCAAAGAAAATGTGTTCCCTACTAAGGGTTAATAAGGAAGCAGGCTGAAGGGTCAGTGTAGGACCCGCTTTAGGGGGGTCTGCTTTGACGTTGGCAGGCGGGCATTCCCTCCAATGGCCATTGGAGCAACTAAATGACCTCCATTTGTCTAAATATACATAGGGATTAAGGAGAGAGCACAGGTAACTTTTTCTTTTCTTTGGTTTTTACTATATATTGGGGCTAGTGTGTACTGTAGTCATTGCTGCTGGCCCAGTAGTGATGGGAGTGAGCGCAGGACTTATCTTTTTGTATTTGTATTTACTTTGTATCACACTGCCTTGTTACAATGCTGCAGCCCATCCCATGTGTTCCCTATTAAGGGTTAATAAGTATATAGGGGTGTATATAAAAAATACCCCTCTCTGTCTCATTAGAGATATCTTTGCCAGAAGCTCAAGGAAGTAGGCTGAAGGGTCAGTGTAGGACCCGCTTTAGGGGGGTCTGCCTTGACGTTGGCAGGCGGCCATTCCCTCCAATGGCCATTGGAGCAACTAAATGACCTCCATTTGTCTAAATATACATAAGGATTAAGGAGAGAGCGCAGGTAACTTTTTCTTTTCTTTAATTAAGAATTATACCTAGTTATTTAGATAATGATAATGTGCATTAGTTAAAATCAATGAAAACTCGTACCCGTGAGTGAAGGCTGGATCAATGATATTGTTTTTACATGGATTTAGGTCTGTTTTAGAAAAGCAATACATTTGGTTTTCACCTTAAATGTTTCCAGCCAAAGGAGGGAAAATGACAAAATGGAGATTGTAAGGTCGTTGATTTGTAAATGCAGAGCTCTGCTGTCTGAAATGCACATTGAACTCACAGTGCTATATTTTGCTCTGTTACTAACACCAGCACTTAAATATTCCAATTTTGGCAGGTACAAAAACACCACTTATATCTTTCCTTATGCGTTCCGTGCATATTCTACAATCTCCCGCTGTGTGTCTAAGTCCCTCTTCGGTCTTACAGGCTACACCCTGTGTACAAAGGCATGAACAAATAGTCTGCTAGGTGTGCCTCGGAAAACACAAATACTTGTCCTGGACATCAATTATATATTTTAATATATATATATACAAAAATGAGCAAAAAAAGAGTATTATGAATAATCTTGTAACTTTGCGTTTTTTTCTATATTTAATATTTTCATTGGGAATTGAATGTAAAAGATTGTTTCTGTTCAATGCA